CAAAAACTTCAGCCAGAAACCACACAACAAGCTCAATTAAATAAACCACAAAGTCTTGTGTATATTCCAAAGCTTGGAAAGCATAATATTCTTCAGACATTCAATCTCACAGTTCTCCTTTATGAACACGTGCCAGCACAGTTAGATAAATGTGATTCCACACGCCATATAGAAGTCTTACTTCTGAAACGAAGGTGCCACAATAACCTTGGTTATTTATCACTGCACAAACCTGTAAAACACTCTCAAAGTGTTTCTTTGTCTCAGCTATTTCATCTGATCTCCAAGGTTCAAAGAAGAGATATCTTTAAATTATTTTCTTGGTACAGAAGAGAAGAGAGCAGAATCCTGTCCCGTGTCATTACTTTATGCATTCCTTTGCCTTGTAGGAAATGTCACTGCACACAGGAAAGAATTTTTTGCATTGTAATATACAAAAGTATGGCAGTGGTGCCTGACAAACACAGTCACCCTGTCCTTTGCTCTCTTCATTGCTTTTCTATTAATAATTCTTACCTACAAATGTTACAGAGTATCAAATCCTCATTTCTAAAAGATAATATAAAATTCCAGCAAAGAGATAGTGATCTACACACAGGTTCATGTTAGGACAGAATTAACAATAAGAGAGACTGGGAATAAAACTTCCCTGAAGACTGATACAGCATGGAAAAATTAACCTCCCATGAAGATTAAAAAAAGACAAGATACAGTAGTTATTCTTCATGATGCAATGTCCAAGACACTTGAACAGCTTCTTAAGAACTGCAATATGAAAAATTACACAAAACAAAGCCTATCCTTAGTCTACGTCACTTTCTCTAAAGGCTAAGGTAGGAGAAGCCAACAAGAGTGTGTCTAAGTAAAAATATTTGAGAAAGTGAGAAGTGGTATCATAACACTAAGAGGATCTCTAAATAATTTTCAAAAAAATAAGTACCTGTGGGTGATATGGCAACCACAGTCTCACATCATAGAAAAACAACTCTACTGCTGCAGAGCTAACCAATATTGTGTTACATGCAGCACAATAAAACTGAACTCTAATTTGTAAATACTTTGTGAACCATATGGACAAGGCACACAGAAAACCACTCATAAAATGCAGTTCATATAAAATATTATTACTGTATGTAATTCTTATTCCAGATCCTTTTCTGAATTTCTCCAGCCAAATTTGGAGGCTGTGGGTATATATATTGACATATGAGTATCCAGAAAAGAGACTGAAACCATAAACTCATATAGGATATAGTATTTCCTCCAAGTATTTCTGCTCGTATGAAACATTCAATTTAGTTCACATCATGGGGCAAAACCAAGTATCAGCAGCTAAATCAAGTTAGCTAAAACCCAGGATCGTACAGAATATCATAATGTTCCAGTGCATGGCAACCTTTTCTTGAAATTGCTCTGAAGCCACATATTAATATGGAACTACAGGGAAAAAGGGAAAACCCCTTCATTTTCACTGTCATGAAACTTACAGTGAAGTTATTTTTCTACTTGTCATTACTAATGACCCTACAACAATGCTAATATAACTATTAATGGCATTAACATACTGCTAACAGGAATAAAATATTCTGTAACATGCTATAATATCCACAAAATGAGATAATGCCATTACTACAGAAATGTCCTTAATTCTCTTCGTAGAATAAAATTACTCTTTTAATATCCATGGCAAAAAAGTTGTCAGGTCCACAGTTTAACTCATTTAAAAGTGATAACATACATTAGTCTAAACTACACTTCTGCCTTGGATATAGCTGGGACAAGTGCATTGTTTATCAGGGATATTGCTTGTTAGAATAAACGGTTTCTTCTCCCCATTCCAGGGCCTCTGTTAATGTAGGAAGGGATACTTCACCCTCCAGGTCTTGTGTAATTTATGAGGTGCTATTCCCCACCTCAGAATTTGTCTTATTAGCTAAAATCTCAAAGTAAGAAAGGCTGAGCACTGAAAATAATACTTTGCCAATTCAAACAGATTTTGCATGGCAGATTCAGGCTTTCTAATAATGTTGTCCATGGCATAATTTATACTGCACTATCAGCATCTTTGATTCTTCCTTCTCTACAGTCACCCTCCCTGACACCTTATCTGAATAGAAAATGAAATACATTCTACATCATGTGGGTGTGATTTATTTTATAACTACAATTGCTCTATTGCTATATTTCTATGCATTACAGTGTTGCAATTTCTGTTTCAAAATGACCCAGATAGATGTGTTGGAAAAGGTTGAAAGAAAAACAAAAAGAAAATGAAAATTCTCCCAACATCTCAATTGAAACTATACTCACTGAAACTCAAGAAATGTCAGCACTTAGCCAAGTGTTCCTGTAGGAAAGCAACGAGGGATAAACTTATCTAGATTTCATTAATTTATTAATTTCTGCCCTTGAATTATTTCAAATTAGAAAGATATGAAGGGTTGCCATCATGATTCGTTTTTTTCTATAAGACTAGAAAAAGAGGTCATACAAAAGACTAGAGGTGAAAGATATATCAATCCAAAGAAAAGTCCATTAACAAGATTGCTGGGATTTAAAATAAAACAGAACAAATCCTATTAGTTACTTTACCTTTATACTATGCTTCTTAGTTTTGATTTGAAGAATTTCTACATTATCTGATTTCTTGACATTTCAGGAATTTAAAGGAAAATATCTAGTAACACAATAAATATATCCATCCATGTGTGTACATAATAGCTATGGGGAAAAGAATGTAACTTTCATCTCTAATTAATCTCCATAGCTGTAGGTCACTATGGAAGTTCTGCTTGTTTTGATTCATCCCCTTCTCCTGCATAGTAAGGTTTATGAGACTCACGACTTTCAACTCTCCAATACAAAATCTACAGGAAAACAATCAGCTGTTAATTTTTTTCCAAGTTGTGAAACAGGAATACAAAGCAAGGCAGATCTGGGTCCTGAGGATTCAGTATATCACTCAGAGCAATCGTGAGCTATTTTCCCTCTTATATTAGCAGTGTACAGAGTGTAGAATGAGGGAATTGTTTAAATTATATAACTTGCCTATTATATTAAAATAGTTATATAATGATGAAAGGAACAAAAATAATTTGGTAATTGAAAACTGTGAGTTACTAAGCTTACACAAACTTGTAATAAGTTTGCTGAAGAACATTTCCACTACAGGAAGCAGGCAGAAAACAACAGATGTAGTCAACTCTATTGCAACTCAGCAATTAAAATACAGGTGTCACTGAAAGAGGCATCTCAATTCATCAAGTTATCTGCAAATCCTATACTGCAGCATTTATTTTCCATGGGCTGGTAAAATATCATTTAGGACTATATATTGAAACCTATAGTTCAATATATTCTTGTATAGTTAAAGACATGTAATTAGTATACAGAATTACCCAGTAGTAGGCATCAATAGATATTTATATTTCACTTCTGCCTTGATACACCCATTAACAGATACAAAAGCTTATTCTTAAGAAAAAAAAGAGAATGACTATCATATCTCCCCACAATAATAAGCAAGACAAAAGGCTTATATTTGATTTGTGAGATTCAAACTTTGCAAACTATGCTACCAACAAAGCTCACAAATACATTATATTAGAAGAAACTGGGACTTTTTAGTAAATAACCTGTAGGGCTCTGACCCAGCTAGATGTGTTAATCAGTTGCATCCAAGTTACCAATAACACAAGATCTCTGCCTGAATGGGAGAGTCTCTTAAACAAAGACTCCCCTAAACAGAGACTCTCTTGAGAGACACCACATGTCTCTTAAACTAAGACTCACAGAATGATGACACTTGAGGTTTTGAACATAAAATTCCATCTTGCTTTTAAACCTCTTGTCAGGGTTCCTACTTAAGCCTAATGTTTCTTATATACCACACAGTTTTATAGAAATCACATAGGTGGAATTTACTAACATTCCTACAATAAATATGGGATATACAAGGAATAATTATAAATATCATGAAAAGGGACAAAGATGATAAAAATATTCAACACAATCACTGTACTCTAGAAATTATAAATTATATAAGATCTTAATTTAGTACTGAACTGAGTCTAGGCTTACAATATTAAAGCACACAGGTGATACATTAATTATTAATATTCTTCTGCCTTTTCTTCTCATATCAGTTTTAAGTGCATGAGAGTCGCAGAATTGTGTGTTTTGAGTTCTATGAGAATAAGTATCTTTGAAAGATACTTTTGAATTTAAAATATAGTCAAAGTTTTACGAAGTATTAAATTTAGCAGCAAGGACTACATTTTTTTTTTAGGAGCATAATGTGTAGAACAAGGAGGACATAATGGGAGACTGAGAATAAAGCAAGGAAAGCAGAGCTCCTGAAGACCATTCCCAGTCTCAGTACTGTGAGACTGTGTGGCTGTAAGAAAGCTCTCAAGTAAGTGCTGAAAAATTTGTTTTTCTGAACAACAGCTTTGGGTTTAGTTTTGCAGGGCAAGACCAAAATTATTTGTAATAAAAATCAACCAGGAAAGGAATTCTGAGCTCATCCCATCTATACAGATGTTAGTATGTATTTAATTTAGTCAGTGCTTTATAGTCATTTTAGTAACTGCTTACTCCAAGTAAACTTCTAACAGTACAAACTCTGCCTCAGCACATTTCAAACTCATGTGACTAAGATCTTGTTAAATCACTCCTCCCAAAAAAACCAAACCCAGAATGCCTTAAGCCTTTTGCATCTTTCCTTCAAGCATGGCCTTGCAATAGATTCAGTGTTGGGAATTCAGATCCAGTAAAACTAGCCATCTGCAGCAACAAAAACAGGAACCTGGGTCTGGCATAGAACTGCTCTCCTGTTTGAAAAAAACCAAACAAACCAATAAACAAACCCACAAAAAAATGTTGAAAACAAACTCTGATACTTTCCCACAAAGCTTCTTTGATTTTTTCCAAGACACAAACAACTTTTTTTTTATGCACCTGCATAAAACAGCCAAGTGACCTCATTTTTTTTCACTCACCTCCTGAAACCACCAGTTATGGTAACTAAAGCATCTGGTAGAAATGTACACACAGTATTCTTGACAATCAAGCTTACTGCATCTGCTTCTGCCTTAGAGACACAGCTAACAAGGTCCTCATAGTAGAGAATCCCTGGAAATCAAAGGTGAAAAGTGTTGATCACTCCACAGAAACATTAAAATATACACAGAATTATTCAAGGCCCAAATCACAGGTGGTGTGGGTACAAGGGATCACAGGCCAGAGACGGCCTCTTTCTTCCCTCATCTTTGTCCTTAGAGTTTATACATATTTTTGTCATTATAATTTGTCATGTAATTTGTCAACACAGCAATTACAGTAATTGCTCCACTTTCTTAGGACCTGAGTATTTATAAATTACTCTGACTTCCCTACTACCTTCCATCAATAGCATTTTTGGATGTACTGTTTCAAAAGGCAGTCTTCCCAAAATTATGGTGTTCTACACAAGTACAGAGCCCAGACGTATGTGAAATACCCCAGCCATCTTATTTCTGATCACAGAGCTTGTGTTGAAAGAACCCAGTATGGCAGCTTGCTTCACATTTGAATATTGACATGTAAAAGAAAAAGGGACAAAGGAGCACGAATACAAGAAATCTGATCCAAGGGAGTCTGAGGTGACAAATTTAATGCCAAAATAAAAGGACATTATTTTAATGTCATATTATGGGATATGTTTTCCTTAATGTAACTAATTTCTTTGTTTAAATTAGTTCATTCATTTAGGGAAACAGTGCATACACACAAAATCTGTGGAGAAGGAACATTATTCTTGTGACCATATTTAACATTTTAAAGTTAAGATGTGCTAGGATTGTAGAAAAAAATGTATAAGTACTTTATTACAAATCTACATTTATCAGTAAAGTAGGGCTGCCTTGAGGAAGACTGATCTCCTCTGAAAAGTAGTTCTGGGCTTTCCCAATTTCATAATTTTTTCACAACCTGTGCAATAATGAACCATTAATAGTTTTGTGTATAAGAGATTTCATTTGGTACCTGTGCAAGCAATTTAAAAATATGCATATTCCTATGTTTTGAATGACACCATTTTTAATTAGGAGCTCAATTGGTCCAAATATTTTCACCTAATAATTCAGTATTCACAAGACTGCAGCAAGAGAACAGATATATAAATGAGCTTTGCCTTCCCCTGTGATTCTATTATCAAGAGATACAAGTTTTTTTGACACCTAACCTCACCTGCTTTCTGCATTTTTGACAGCTTCAGGGTCTTTTCAGCTTTTACCTCTTCCACAGTTCTCAAACCCATTCTGTACCATTTCTCAGATGTCTTCACTCCCACTCCAAAGACTGAAGTAAATTGCTAAAGTCAATAGAAAAACATTTCAATGTTGTTTTCTAAAGGAGCAGTGAATTAATATTAAGTAGGCAACAATAAGGTTTCTCAAGGAAAGCAAAAGGCAGAGTTAATCCTACACTGAAGATAAACAGTGTGATACAAACATGTAAATTCAGTTTCCCTTCTTTGCGTGACTACATTGAACAGAGAACTGGTTTTATACATGGACAGTTCTCATTAACGTGAAATCTAAACAAAAATACAGCAGTAGTCCCATAATTTTAGTAAATTATGAAATTTACTAAAATCTACACTTTTAACTATGGTTTGAAATAATGGTATTAATCTCTATTTTTACTCAATTTCTTAACAGAAATGCATTAGGTAGCTCAATTCCCTGACACTGACCAGATAGAATAAGAGATGTCACAAGATTATCTCTATAATTTGACTGACATTATGGCTTTGTGCTACATGCACTAACAGCTCTCAAAACAAAAACCAAACCAAAAAAAAAAAAAAACCCAACAACAACAAAAAACAAGCAGAAAACAAATAGAAACAAACAAAAACCAAAACAACCAAAAAACCCCAAACAAACAAGAAAAGACCCAAAATAAAAACCAAAACCTCACACAAGTATCCCCGAACAACCAAAAAATTGACACACGAAAAAACAACCTAAAACACTCCAAAGTCTACCAGTCCACCAGAAAGTTTTGTGTGGTCATATTCCATCTATGACAAAGCAATGTTGTTCTCTAAGTTATTACCCATGAGAGGATGTAAAGCAGCAGCTGTAAGCGTTATTCTTTGGATCACTATCCCAGATGAACACTGATATGAAAGCAAGAGGGAAAACTTTCATGCTTGCCCAAAAGCACATTCTTTATGTTCACTTTGTCAATACTGTACCTCTCCACCTTGCTTTGCACTTTTATGGAATTCAGTGAGTGGCTGTGTAAGACATGGATAACTAACTGCTCTTTTCCATTGAATCTACAACCTCTAAATTCCATGCATTCCAAAGCAAGCCCCCTTTATTTCTTTGTTTTTGTGAAGATATTAATTCCTTGAAAATAATTAAGATTTAAAAAAAGAAAAATTAAAATATTTGATAATATTAAATATGAATTGTCTTACACTTTGTATATATGTGAAATTACCTACTCTTGTCTGAATCACAGGTGCTTATAATAGGATATGATCTTTTAAATATTTAGATTGTTATCTTTTAATGTTTTTGCTAGTGCTGAAATATTTTCAAAAGGGTCTATTACTGGGTTTTAAATTATTCTATGAGATTTAATTAATACTGAGACAAAGAACTAAAGAAAGAGGATTCTATGCACCCAAATTTTTAGGGGGAAAAACCAAAATTGTGGTTTTTTTCTCTCCAGACTTAGATTCATTGTTACTTAGCATGTTTTTAGATGCTAGAGATGCTGCCAGCAGTGTACACAAGTAAAAAGCAGCACATTTCTTTTCAGCTGGTGAAACCAATTACACAAACTCAATCTCTGCAGCACCCATTTCTGTAAGAAAGCAAACTGACCCTGTCAGCTCATGTCCCTACATCTAAAACATTGACTATAATTTAATTCAGTCATTTGATAACCATGGTCCTGGGGCCAGCAGTGATCTTTTAAGTCATAAGTGAAGCAGCATGTACCAGGACTATGCTAAACAGTAAAATGTTGGAATTCACTAATACAAGATTCTTCTTAAAATTCTATAATAAACTTGGTGGGAACAACTGGTTACAACTAATTTAGACAAAATGCTGAGATGTATGCTCAGCTAAGAAGAGAGCCATCTAAATTTGTTTTATTTTGCATGTGAAACAAGGCATAAAGTGTATTTGAGATAATTTGTCTCCTGATAGGTTTTATTCTAATCTCCATGAGATTTCTTAAACTCTGAAGTGTAAGATTTAATGGTTGTTCCTCATCATGCTGTAATGCAATCATGCATTAATAAGCAAGTCTGCTTCTGGGATCCTTCTATACATGGGAATCTACACCTCTTTTTGAATATTGCTAGAAATGGCATCAACATCTGTCTCTGAACACCCTTCCATACCTGTATTGTAAGTCAGAGAGAACAGAAGAGCCTTTGGATAGCTGAAGCAAAAGTGAGTGATGCCAGGGAGAATTTAACAGTCCCATTTGTTTGAATCTGTTTTAATTTTTCTGAAGACAGAAGGTATTTATAGAGATCAAAAATGCAGATAAATTTTTTTTAAATGTTTGTTCATCTTACATGTTTCCAATGGAGAATTCAATAAATATTTCAGTAATGGGAACTGCAATATTTATGTGGTTTTCATTCCCTGCAACTATGAAGTTGTGTGACTAAGACTCTGCAATGTACCTAAGGAAGAAACAGCTCCAGTCCTCCTGCCTCACACAAAAGAGCATTACAATAGATCTGAGTCATCTTCTTCACCCAGTATTTTCTTAATTACAGAATAAAATGAAGTAGTTTTAAAATTTCAAACAGCTGAGGCAGAAATGAAACCAACATCACATTAAACTTACAGCAAAGAGTAAGTTGCATTACATCACTTAAGAGCAATTATGTATACATCACATTAAGTAAAAATAGATATTCCACATTATTCCTTGTCACTGTTTCTTGTTTTGCCTTTCTTTTTTTCAAGACCTATCTTTCTTTTTATTTGATATTGGTTGTCCCTTTACAATAAAAATGATGGCTTTGTCCAAGTTCTACTAAAGGGAGGCAAATTTTAAACAGCAGCTACAAAACTCAAAGGAATTACCTTAAACGCCTTGTATCGCTCATCATTTAGCACTTCTTTAACTCTAGAACTCTCTCCTTCTTCAATAATCTCCTAAACAAAGAAAAATATTACTTATAAAAAAAAAATAATTTGTAAGACCTTACTACAATTATAAGATTTAGCGAAATAATCTAAAATCAAGTTTCATCAATTTTTATTAATCAATAAAAGAACCCCTAGCAAGCATATTGTTTTATTCCCTTAGGATCAAATTCTGCAACCCTTTTAAAGAAAGAAAATTACTGAAGGATGAAGGAGAAACTGGAACCACAGAATAAATTTCACAGTCCTTACTTACTCATAAATTTACTCAAGGATGAAGTAGAAACTGGGACCATAGAATATATTTCACAGTACTTATTTACTCATAAAGACACAGCCAGAAAGCAGTTATTTATTACAAGCTATCAATTACTTGTCCTGAAAATTAGATTTCATTATTGGTTGAGTTTTCTACTCTCAAAAATAAGACCATTGTAAGAACAAATACTATTTTTTTCTGGAGTGTACATTTCTTTAGTATTTCTCATGAAAATTAAAAACAAAACTGACAAAACCATCCCAAGAAACCATCCTATTTTCTGTGGGATCTTGATTGCAATCCCAGCCCTCACACAGAAGTACTAAAAGCACTCCAGAGGCTGCATTCTTAACTGGTGGACTGGGGCAAAAGAGGAGCCAGAGCAAAGCACAACACTCAGCAGTGACCCCTGAGCAGCACTCTGAGATGTGGGTCCTGAAAAGGTTAAGAACTAAAGAAAAATGCAGGGAATACTCCAAGTTCCAGAAAGAATGGAGAGTTCATCCATCACCTGGATAAAAGGCTCTGCTATAACTATATATAACTTGCTATAAAGTAGAAGGGTAAGATTTAACATTAAAGTGCTAAAATATTTACCACTTCCACAAAAAAGAGTATTTCTAATAAAGCATTCAGGTGAGTAAAGTGATGTTGCCAAGGGCAGAAGTCACATGAACAAAACTATTAACAGTTAACCTGTTGCATCCAAATCAGAGTGAGCCCTTAGAAATTACATGCAAAGCTGATACTGCTTTATTTATTCCATTGTATTTATTCACTTGTAACCCTCATTCCTAAGAGTGGGGGTTCCATGACAGAGTCTTGTGTTATGAAAAAGGTTTCCAAAAATCATTTCATTCTTTGTTTCTGTGTTAGAAGCATAGATAACACATTGCTATTACAGAAAATGCAGAATGTTTGTACACACACACAGATGTACCAGTGCTCCTCTCAGTGACCTGTAAATACTGATCTATAAAAGAATCAATTGGCAGATAATTCACAAGTACATTACCTCAATGATATCTCTGACTTGGTCTCCCACACAGGGCAACCCTTGTATATCTTTCATACTGGTTACTGAAAATGGAAGAGATTTCAGCAATGAAGCTGCCCTTAAAAATTCCAGGGAGAATATTTCATTTTCTTTGAATTCATAATTTTCAGCCATTACCTCGAAGGCATCCTGGGACAGGGGGAGGTAGAGGGAAAAAAAAGTTAAAGTTTAATAATAGCTTAAAATATTCAGTATGCTCCTTAGAAAGGCTACTTTGTATGCTAATTCAATAATTACTTCTTTACACTACATTGAAAAGATAGAGTTCATTTTAAAAAAGCAGACCAATTTTCTAGCAACTTGAAGTTTTCCAGGTATCAAAAAAATGGTATTTTAGAGATAAGCTTGAAAAAATTTTGTGAGATTTGCCTTCTGTATTCTCCATGGATCTTATAAATCAGTGTCAAATAGTGCCATAATTTTTAGAATTATCCCCAACCATAATTAATCCAGCAGATCAGCATATAACATCTGCATTTTCAGATGCAACCAAATAGGAATCTGTGGCAATACTGGAAACCACCTTAATCTTTTTGAACATGTAGCCATGCTTCTACTTGGTAAGTTAGGGAACAAATTCTCCTGTTCTTCATTTTTCAGATGTATAACCTTGCAAATAGAAACACATTTTCTTTATAGCTCTTTAGCTATCCATGGTTTGGTTTATTTAACATTGCACTCAAAAATACCTGAAGAATGTCTATATAGTTGGTTTTTTCCTAAATGATCCATATGAGGTCTGTTTCCCTCCCAGAATATATTTAAAAATATTTATATTAAAAGCAGAGAATTTTAGAAATTAAATGCAGGGAATAGACCACCTCTACAATGGTGTAGAGGAATTTAGTTGGTGTTTGCCACTGTAGAGTATCAGCTTTTCAGAGGGAACCAATGCTGCAAAATAATTTTGTGAATAACCTAAGAACTTATGATGGTTTTTATTTGATTAGCAGCTGGAAAAACAAGTTCTGAGTGAAATCTTGCACAAACCTCAAAAACTTCCAAGAATGCAAAATTAATTGATTTCTTCAGAAATGCTTAAGAGTGCACCATTACTAGAAGAGAGTTCCCCTGTACGGAATATTTACCTAGAAGCCAGAGAAGCGGCTGTCAGTGTGCATCTGCCTGCAATTACTACTTCCTAGAGCTGTAGGCCAAGTGCTTGCACAGAAATATTTCTGGAATAGATGTGAGTAAAATCAAGAGACAGCAAATGGCTTACCAGAGCAATGACTGCAGTGGAAAGCAGGAAGGAAAGAGATTAAGTGTCCTTTTCCTGCCCTCACTGTTCATGTTTAGTCTCAAATATCATTTCATTTGTAATGAATATACAGTTTATATAGTTCAAAGAAAAATAATTTTAGATTTTCCTTTGTGTGCTTTATATTGGAAGATGAAGGACAGTAAAACCCAGCAGGCCTTGTAGATCCTAAATGCTACAGGTGTAATATCTCCACGTGAATCTGTCCCAAGCCCACTAACTGACAGGACAGCAAATCCAGTGAAGTCGGCTCTTTATTGTAACTGTGGAATAGAAAACAGCATCTATCACTCTACATTGAGTGAATACAGCCTCATTTAAACAATGAGATTTTACTTGAGCTATCATCATTTAGATCACTAAAATGGAATATTTCCTTAAAACTAAACATACCATTCACAATGATTTACATATTGCATTTCATTGTTGGGTCAGTTCTATAAAACTAGACTGACATGGTGAGTTTGTTTATATAATAAACATTTTAGTCTCATTAAAACAAATTGAAGGTTTTACTTTAAATCTTCAAGAAAACATTGTATTTTCTTACCCTATGATTTGCAAAACATTCCTCTTAACAAAACAAAAATATGAGATCTCACTTGTTTTGACAGTATTTCCTTAGAAGGAAATAGGTACCATAGCTGAAAAAAACCCACTTCATTTCCCTTTTTTTTTTTTCTTAGCTGCACTAATATGTTAAAAGTATATAAAAATATGGCTTGCTACAATTTTCTTTATTCTATATCACCAGTATAAATTCACTCCTTGGTCTCCCTAAGAATCAGTCACCTATTGTCTGTCTCACTCTAAGAATCCTTCCCTTAGCTGCATATTTATTTACCAGCTACTCAATAGTAAGGGCTGTGAAATTCCATTTTCATAACATTTCATGAAAGACCTCATTAGAAGGACAGCTGTTTAGTAACGTGCCTGATCTGGAAGTTCCAACTATCATTTACATTCAACTACCCCTTGGGTATAAAGAATCAAAAAGAGGAGAGATAATGCTCCTTTGAGGGAAAAAAACAAACAAACAAACAAACAAAAAACCAACAAAAATAAAAAAACAAACAACCCACCAAACCACAATCGATTAGAAGAATAATGCACAAGCCTTAGCTTCCTAACATCTGTCTCTAAATCTTTTGCTGTAGCTAATTGTTGGATTTATTCAACTGTCTTTTTTTCCACATTTAAAATCTTTATTTAGTTGACAGATTAACTTGTAAGTAATTACACGCTTTTTGGTAAGACAGGCACATTATAGTTTCTATTTAGAAAGAGAACTAATGCAGAAAAATGTGAAACTACTAGTTTGAGGTCATCAGCAACATGGATTCATCCCAGTTTGTATATGGAAGAAAAGACACAGTACTGCAAAGCAAATGGGGAAATACATTTTACAAGTGGGATAACAGGACTCGGATGTTTCCTCTACTGTGGGGCTTTCTGGATGCTCTCCCAAGTTCTTACACTTGTTATTCTTCAAAGATTATTTTTTACTATGGAATAGAATATGCTAATTGTTCCTTCAAGTGAGATTAAACGTTCAACTCACAAAATTAAGATTACTTTTGATTTCTTCTTCTTTCTTTATAATTTGTACACCTAAGTAGTCAAGAAAGCACTGTTTGCCAAGAAATTTCTGTGTTAATAATGGCAGAGACTGGCAAAGCCATCTTCTTGTTTAGAGTGCTCAAAAAGTCCTGGGATGTTTTTACTCACTCCCAAAAGGCAGCCTCTCACATGCACATCTGAAGTGTGCTATACTGAACAATCAGCCATTGTGGCAATTGTATCTGCATATCCCAGCACAGCCCTGCTGCAGAGAGGTGTCAGTCCCTTCCCACTGCCAGGAGGGCAGTTCTCAGAAAAGCTGTGTCACCTTCATTGTTGAAAAATATAATCACAAGAAGCATTTCACTCAGAGGCTGTTGATAGTCAGTGAGAAAATATAATCAAAACATTCTTATTATTCTAGTTCACATTTTTCACTGTTTTCCTGCCTTTGTTAAGCTCATTAGTCTGTTTAAAATAAACAATTAAAGAGTATTGAATATTCATTATTCTCTGTGCAAAAAAACCACATTGCCTGCAAATGCAGCAACTAATTACAGATGTCTTTTACCATAAAACTACTTTTAACATTCTTTACAATAAAATATTTCTTTATTAAAAAAAAAGACAGGAACTAGAGTTGCTGTCTATCAAATGGTATAGTTCATATTGAGTAATATTCTAGTGGGAAAAGCATGTAAAACACTAATATTATTTAATAAAAATCCACAATCTAATAGATCACTGGTGAAGTCAGCCTATGGTGATACAAAGGGGAAAGTTATTGACCATTTATTCTAAACTATTATATGTCTTACCTGAAACATCTCACCCTCACTTTATCAATCAGATCAATATTTAGATTACCTGTTTAAAAAGTACCAGTTTAAAAGAAAACTAAATTTCCATAGATTTCCAGCACATCAGAATTTCATTATCTTCAGAGTACTCTGCAGGGTCTTCTGTAATTAAATATGCAACAGAGCTAGGCTACATTTCAGTTCTTCAGTTATTGAAAATTTTACATGTGTCTCTGAAATTGTGGAATGTTTGTTGGTGAGACTTGGAGTATGCAAAAATGTGAGTTTAAAATTACTTCCATATTCCAGTGGGTCAGATCCAAAAGAACACTAAGATTTTGCTGAATTGTGTTAAAAATAAGAAGGTGACAGACGTAGAGAGGAATTCTGACTCTCATTTAACATCTGGTATTTAAGAACCAATAAATTAAAATATCATTAACAACACAAAGTTACCAGTAATCACTTTACATACGCAAAAAACACAAACTAAAATACTATGAGTGTTCAAAATCACTTATGTGAAACCAACAAAAAGTGCAAGATTCTCAACTAATCTATGAGAATTATTCTCAGAAAAAAAAATAATCAGTAAGACCATGCTAGTTTCTATCCGCTGAACAGCTGACCCAATAACATTCAGCATGATTATCAGAGCACAAGTCATGCAGAAAAGCAAAACAAATTAATGGTCCCATGTGCTATTTCATACTATCCTGCTCAACAATAATGTCAGAGCTGGTCCATTGCTACTTGCAAAACAGTCTTTAATAAACTCAGTTTAAGACTCTGCTAGAACAGAAATCATAAATATTTCAAAAACAAACAAACAAACAAAAAAAAAAAACCAAAAAAAACTTTAAATCTGATCTGCTTTGTGAAGAATTTATTACAGCTTCATGGAGAGGGCACTTGTCTTACAGCCATGCCTACACTCTCAACTTTGCTGCCAGACCTTGGAAAGCTGCTCCACACCTCCCTACCATTGTTTCTCTTGGCATCTTCCATTCACTCTCTATTAGGAGTGTGAGCACTCCAGGGCTTGAGTGCTTTCACAATGTGCTTGTACAGCATCTCTCATGAAAAAGGCGCCTAACTTACTTGAGTCTGCAAACACTACCACAGCACAAATCTAAAAAATATTAACATGCTGTTGTACAAGAAAATTCAATCTGCCAAAAAACTAAATAACAAATTGTGACTAAAAAACCCAAAAATCTTACATGATATGTGTTTGAGAACCTGTTATATTCAGAACAGCAATTTGAGTTAATTTGTTTCCCTCTCAATCACTCTTTTCCACTTATTTAGTAGGTAGCAAACCCAAGGACAGGTCCTACTTCTCACCACATCAGCATCACCAGTGTTTGATGACCATTCAAAAGAAACCAAAGTTTTAGAATGCAGCTTTCATTCAAATAATTTTCCTCTCTCTTTTGCCACTGTAAATGTCAATTTTGTATTTTGGTGGGAGGAGACAGCTGACATGTGAATGTCCTTAGTATAGGCTGAGAGAGAAAAGAAATACCTCTAGGTGCTTATTTCAAAAAGAATTAAACAATTGAGACCAACCTGCAATATTGACTAAACTGACTTCCAAATAAATGAAATTACCTCTTTTTGTTCATTCTGACTTTTTGTTTTGTTTTGTTTTGTATCTGGACTGAAAAGCCCAGCATTTTCCCAAATCCAAAGATTCTATTATGTTATTTTACATCACCTAGAAAAACAAAGGAGCTGAGAAAGTAACAATAAAAGCATGATCTCAGGGTCCCTGCATAAACACTATTACAAGAAATAAATATATTAGTTCCAGTTGCTTCTCATAATAACAAACAATAACAAGCTCATTTCTTGAAACAGAGGAATACATGAGAAGCTTTCATATTATTCCACATTATGTAAAAGGACACTATACGAATGTGAAGAAAGGTCTGCTGATATAGCACAGAAATGCAGTTAGAGTGTTTATCACCTAACAGTGACCTACATAATAGACACACTGTGTAATAAGAAATATAAAATACAAAATGCATATTACATATATTAATATGGTCAAAGAAAGCAACATAGACTTGCTATAGCATACAAATTTAAACTGCTGAAGAGTGAAGATGTATTTATACTTTGCATTTTACAAAGCACCTTCCCATTTATATTAAAATTTTGAATACATATTTACTCCTTAGACTAAACAATTAATTAATTTTGAATAGATATACACTTTGCACACATGCACATCATAATTCAGAGGTGAAGTTTACAGAATTTTACTGAAGAAAGCTGTTTCAGTGGGACACTACGTGTTATTAAGAGTATCCATCCAGTTAGTGGTTTTCTACTACACAGCTCCCAAGTTCATTATAAAATTAAAATTGAGGATCTTCTGAGGTAGGTTTTGAAATAAAATAATAATAATAATAATAATAATAATAATAATAATAATAATAATAATAATAATAATAATAATAATAATTGCTTGAGCCATTGGCATAACTGATACATTCTTCTGTAGACACAAAAGAAGAAAGAAATATTTCTTTTTTCTTTTTCTCTAACATAGTGGAAAGGAAACCAGGCATCTTTCCCGTGCTAAACATCCACATTCTCATTACTGTGAGTAACAGCCAAAGCAAAGTAACATCCAGTAGCATTAGCAATAAGCCTCAGAATCACAGAACCATTTGCCTCTGACTTAATTAGTTTTTTCTGTAAGAATTAAATTGTATGTTCCTCACAGAAGAATGTCTTTCTGAATTTTATTGCAGTCTGATATTAGTATTCAAATCCAACAACCCCTCCTGGGCACAGCAGAATGACTCCTTTTATTTTAGCACAAGAAAACACAATGCAGCCTCCAAGTGTATATTTTTAGTGGGAGAGAGAAGATAGCTACAAATAAGTCAGAGAACTATATTGGAATACTATATTCCATAATAACATTAATATTTTAGACAAACATAAAGGAAACTTGCTAAGCTGCAGACTCTACTCAAAGGATCTGCTCTTTTGTTTTGCAGCTTTGTCCATCTGAGCAGCCACAGCTCACCTGTGAGTAGGGTGATGTGTTCAGGTGCATTCCTGGACCAGCCAGGTCAGCAAAGCCCATGGCAGAGGGTCCCAGCTGCCTGCCCCAAGGCCAGGGGACACTGGGACCCAAAGACTGCACAGAGACAGAGTCTGAAGCAGCTGCATCTCTACCCCATCAACTGAACCACGGTTCCACTGTCTACTCCTTGGCATCTGACATTAGTGTATTCTTCACACCACAAGCCTCACTACACAACAGCTCATAAAAGACTTGACTGGCACTTTCCCCATACTGAATGCAATAACAAAACCTTGACATCTGCAATTTATGTCAGCCCTTCTGTAGCTTCTTCCATGTGTAGAACTGGTTTGTTGTAACTTTCTTTAAGTTATTTTCTGGTTATTACAAGAGACAGGAAACATGAGACATTTGAACATAGAAATTGCACCTAGTAGATTAAATCACCACTTTTTCCTCATGAGCTGTCATCAAATATCTCTGCTACTTTTTTTTAATAAGTAGTCTTTCATGATGAAATATATGCAGAACGGGACTTAGGATTAAAAAGGATCACTAATTATCAATTTCTTCAGAAATCAAGTCCCCTAAAGTACTTCTCCCAGGAAACCAGGACATATAAATCCTGCTGCACCGACATTGCCTGCCTATTAGTGACTGGTCCAATGTAATTACTATGCTTTCCTCAAACACAATTCCTACATATTTGAAAGGGCAACTTGATACAACATATTAGGGCAAAGTCCAATAACAGGAAGAATCCAAGAAGTCATCGAAGAACGCATTAGCAAATAGGTTTGCACCCCTGTTATGGGCATGATCAGAAGACAAGCTAATCAAAGAAAACAGGAAATCTGCAAGAAAAGGGAGCAAGCCTGACTCACAAAATAAGGTAGTTATAACAAAATGCCACCATCAACACATAACTCAAAATGGTTTGGACCCAATTTTCAGGATGTATGGTATTGACCCAAGGAAAATCTGTCATTTAATGGTTGGCTGCCCACAGCATGCACAAGTGAATTACACCAATGCTTCAGTGCCTTTGCTAAGTGCTTGCACTGAGAAATCTGTTGGAATGCTTTTATTTGAGAACATGAATTAGAGGATTAATACAAGGCCAACAAAACAACAGCAAATCTAAAAATCAGGCTCCTGTGACATTGGGCAGACTAACTGGCAGCTCTCCAAGGCATGGGCCAGTTCTGGCAGCCCATAAACACCCAACCCTTCAGCTGTCGTTTGCAGCTTTGGCTGTGAGGAATAAGAGCAGCAGCCCTGAGGAGTTCCATTACAACTGTCAAGATGCTGATTCTAGACAGACTCACATAACATAAACTTGTCCAGTTCCAGCTCCAGAAACAAAACACAGCATGAACTCTGAGAAGTTACTCTCAAAATATGTTGAAGATGAAAAACTAACACTTTTGTCACCACAAAACCCAGTGTCTACCCAGAAATGTTTGATATATAGAGTAACAGAAGGGAATCTCATTACTCCCATCATCAAACTGCCCCACTTCTAACGTGTTCAGCTAAATTCACTTAACAAATACAAGCTGTACTTTGACATTAAGACTGCATTAAACCTGGAAATAACTTAGGGACTGCCTCTGTGAAACACACAACAACTTTGTGCCTTCTGCGAGCAACCATTTTAATTTACCATTATCCATCACATTCCTTTTAATTTTTTACATTTAAAATGTCTGACAACATGTTATAATATAGAAAATTCATCAAAGAGCCAGGTCCCACATTCAACTGTTTTCAGGAAGTTTAGGACTAAGACTTCCTATTTCTCCAAGAAGCTTGGTATTTTACATAATGTTTCAGTCATACTATTTTTGGTCTGACATTTTTCCCTACAGCAGCTCGTATTTTATATTTATAAACAGTGAAAAAGAACTGCTGTTTTCAAGAGGTTAAATGGTTACAGTCACAGCCTTTTTTTTCTAGCAGGAGGTAGGGAAATGCAGCCATTTCAAAAGCAGTTATGGGAATATTGGTAACACTGGGACTGGAATGGACCTCAGGAGGTCTCTAGTTCAACCTCAGGCTCAAAATAGGGTTAAGATTCAATTCCCATCATGTTGCTCAAAAAGGGACCTTTTGTAAATAAGCAGTTTAACCTATCTGACTACCACAAATAGTAACATATATTTAATACACTTGCTGATGATTTCAAAGCATAACTACAAGCCAAATTTTAGGTTGTTTAATTTTTAACTGTGCATTCCTAGATCAAGACATTTTTGAGCTCCTTGTAGATTTATCTTTAGTTCTGAATACCCAGAGATTTTAGTATTTACCTTGTAAAGGGTTTATATTCACAAATAACTGGTTTCTGTTGCTATTCTTTTTATATGAATCTTACAGATAATATTTTCTTGAAATATTTGTATGTATTTACAGGAATACACAAAGTAGAATCATAAAAATTATAAATAATAACAAAATGCATAATAAAGCTTTAGAAAAATGAGGACGTGTTTGGTGTTATAGCTGAAACATACTCATGTCACTATGCCAGATATTTTTAGACTGCATTATGTTAAAGTCTCTGAGAAATGTTTCCTTTTGAATAAGTGGTCACCGAGTATTTAGTGCCATTAGGCACAATAACTCCAGAGGAATTTAGACCAGAGGACTCAGACCCTTCATACCCTCTGAAATGTGCAATTTTATGGTCATTAACTAGGATATATGACAGTCTCCAAGATTTAACTAGATAATTCAAAGGGGGTTTGTGATGTTAAAGTAATTAACATGCAGTCTGTTTTCATAATTGCTCAGTTGTGAAAATCTGAAGTTTAGTACCATACTTTAAAGAACTGAACTGGGGCAAACCAAAAGGCAGCACAGCAACTTTGTCTCACCTAAACCAAACTTTTGTTTATCATACTTCCAGCTCATCAACTAGACCACGATGAAAGGCTAAAAAACATTTTTGGAATGTTATTCTATAATTTGTTTTAAAAATTAATGTGTTTACAAGCTATTAATGTATTTAAAGATCCACTGTGTTAAGCTTTCAGCAATACTTAGAGGATGCAATTAAGCTTGCACTCAATTTTAATTTAAGTATGGCAGATTTATAACTTTTTAAATTGTTATTATGCTGCCTCTTTACTCATGAATTTGCTAAGGGTGCCACAGAAAGCAAGTACTGAGGTAAGTATTATAGTAATTATTCTAATTATACTAGTTTTTATTTTATAGAATAAATATTACCGTGAATTTCTTGTTGTAGTTATTTAAAGTTGTCTTCCTCTGGCATGAATACTGAGATAATTTTGTTGCAATAAGTGCTGGCATTTCCAATTCAGGTGTATTCAGAGGACGACATTGGGATTGCTCCTAAGAAGGGTTAAAAAAAGATTTAGTGACACACATGGCAAATAGCTTAAAAACACAAAAAAAGTACATTTCATGAGCCCAAAATACAAACCTTTGAAGAGCAAGCAAGAAAATAATAATGCTCCTGTCATCCTCCTATGAAAAACAAGTGATTTCATATTGACTGGACTGACAGTACAGTTTATCTGGTGATTACTGGGATTTTTGATTTTCTGCAGCAAGTTCTTACAGGGAAATTTCAATGGCACTGCCATTAAAAAAAAAAAAAAAAAAGTCTTTCTAAATGATGTGTGTCTCTACAACTCTCACTACTGCAGTAAGTTTGAAAAACTACAAAACTTTAAGAGCAGATAAGCTCTAAAGCACAGAGCTTTCCCAGAAAACACTAGATTATTCAATATAAGATTAGGGATATTAGACCAAAGGGAAATGTTCAATTGACTTTTTCAGCCTGTAGCTAAATTCAGTAGTGGAGGAAAAATTTTTGTATGAATTGGAAATCGAGTTTTCTCCCCTCTTGCAGGTTAAATGATAGAAAATTTTTTCATTTCAATTTAATTAATTCAGCTAAGTGTTTAATTTTGGAGCCATTTTAGAGTGAAGGAAACATTTATAAGCAGCTACAGAAGAGTAATCTCCATCCTTTTATTCACCCAACCAGCTGGTGATGTGGTTTCTCTCCCTTAGCCAATTCCCACAGATGCTGATCCAATCCAGACATCATTTTTACACATCACCAAAGCAAGGAAAAGGAGCCAGATGCCAAGACTTGAATGAGCATTTCCCAGTCTCCAGGCTGCCTCCATGTTCATTCACTTTTCACCTAATTTTGCTCCATGCAAAATAGACCAAGGTCATACAGGTCTGTGGGCAACCCACCCCTGAAAGATGGGAATTCTCTTAAAAGGTGGGATTCAAAGTCATATCCCCATTGACAAAAGAGAATCCTGAGCACAAGTCCTCAACCTGTGAATATCCTGACTAGGAAGCACCTAGAGAAAGGTAAACTCACACTGGTTTCCTGATGCTTTATACATCCAGTCCTTCAATTATTTCACCTTCTTTAATGTGCCAAATCTGAAATACTTCAGAAACACGAAGTATCTTCAGCAGTTCCCTGTATTTTTTGCTCTTGGTCCTTTTGCTTGAAAACTTTTGGCAGATGTGTCAAAAACCTATTGCATTGCACTATCCAAAAGCCATAGGGAAAGGGTTCAACAATTACAATTCAAAATGTCATGGAAATACATAAAAGAAATTTTCACACCAATAATGGAATGATGAGCCCTTTTTTCCCTTATCCAATCACGCAAAGTCTAGCAAACCTATAAGCATGTGTATATCTTCATAAACACACCCCCAATTAAAATTTCATATAATTTCAATTTTGCCTTTGTATTTGATTCAAAGCAGTTAAATATCAGTATTCACACGTACACAAAAGGTATTTGCTTGCACAACTGAAGGAGTAGTGAATTATATGGTGGTTTTAATAGCATACCCTTAAAGGAAGAAAACAATTTTATGTGTAAGACAAGTCTTGGGAATAACCAAAATGAGTTTCAATCATGACAGCAACACAACTCATTCACTTCTGCACATGTTCATGAATGATGTTTTAAAATTGATTTTAAATCAGATAAACTATGATTGATTAGTGCTGATATACTGCTTGAAATGACAGTGCCAGCTGAAAAGACTGAACAAACAGAATGTTACTGAACAAAACATATAATAAGCTTTTACCTTCTCTAGGACACAGACTCACAGAGAACAAGAGCCCTGCATGTAGCATCAGCTGGTACTGTGGAGGAGGGTAAAACTAATGCAGAAAATCTATGCATTTAAGAGTGTGATAGACTGGACATAAACATCCTATTCCTGCCTTAGTTGAGATATTTGAAAATTTTCCTTAATCAGTAAGAGTTATGCATTTAGTTAACTGGACTTTATATATAACAACAGAAGAAATTTTGGATAGACATTAGCAGCAAAAACATCTGGCAAACAATAATTACTACAGTCTGATTTGCAGGGAATATTATGATGCCTGCATGTGAACTGTAGAAATGATCTATCAGCAGCAGAACATGAGCAGAATTGATGCTGCTCAAACTGATATTTGGTGGGAAAACTAGATGGAAAAAAAATTGTACAGATTACAAGACAAACCTAAACTTCCATCAATCGCAATTACAGTGTAGAAGAAGGAATCCTGAAAACTAATTAGACCAATAATAATTTCTACTATTGGGAAGAAAGAACTAAAGACAAGAGAAAAATGGAAAAATATAAGCATTAAAATTTCCTCCTTTTTTTTAGATAACTCTACATTAAAATGAATTTGCGGTACACTGCACAGGGGCAACCACAGAAAAACATCCCAATGTGTAGGCTATTTAATCACCAGAGCTAGTCAGAGTTCCTACCCCACATCCAGGCTGCAGTGAATGTCACTTGCTACTCTTTCACTGACATTTTCCATATGGCATAAGCAGGAGAAACAGCCTTTACCACTAGCATCAATTTGTAAAGCAGACAGACTTGGTTGCAGAATTAATATTGTGGGGGACTACTTTGCTCTTTGTCAAATTATTTTTTAACACACAAGAAGTATAATGACATAGGGAAATAATAGGGAGAAAATGAAGCAGCAGTGAATGAAGTGAACAGAGACAAGCAGCCAGCAGCTCTGTAAAGCCCAGGCTGCATTGACCAAGTAATAAAGTCCTCTGATAGCCAGCATTTTATGAAGAGAAGGCAGACAGTTTATAAGTTTCATTTTTATTTCCTGAGAAACTCAGGCTGTCAGTATGAAGGATATCTTCCATTACTTACAGCCTCTCTCTTTCACAATGAAACAGAGTGAGATGCTCCAGAAAATGTTAAATATGTCTCCTGACACATGATAAGACAAAGGATCAAAAGATGGTACTTTCTTTCCCTAACGTGGAGAAAAATCCTTTCTTCAAATAAATAAATCTCTTTTCCTTCCTAGGAAAAAACAAACAGACAAACAAAAACCTAATTAGCTAACAGCTTCTGGGTTCTGACTGAGGAAAAGGCAGAAGAGATGCAGCCACAGTACAGTTCTTAAGGCTGCTGAGTGTGAGGCAACCCTTATGGATCTCTTCCTCTCTTTTTACCCCTCTGAACAGCTCCCCTCTGCCTCTTTCTCTTCCATAACTCAGGAAACCTCAGCACTTTCTAGCAATGTCCTTGTGCAGCTATTAATGTCCATGCCCTGCTATTGTCAAGGATACTCATCTGCTTGTGCTGGGAAAGGTGTCCCTGCACAAGGGCTGACTTTTGCCACAGAAATATTTTGCTTCCCTTTCAAAGCAGATATTTGGCTACCATATTTCCAAAGTTTATTAAACTAAATGATGGCTACTAACCTTAAAAATCAACTGTGACTGAATGAATCAATAATAATTCTGTCCATCGTAAATCTGGTCAACCAACCCTTTATTCTCTATAAATCACAGACATCAGAGCACCTCTTGGATCATTCACTACCACAGAAAGAAGTACTTTAATGACAATTTTAATTAGGATGTTAGCTAATGGTCTGTAACTCTGACTTTATTCCCCTTGTTTTGCATGGAAAAGGGCATTTCTTTTTACTAATGCAGTAAAACAAATGTCCTGAATGAAGAATAACATTCCAAATAGCCTACTGTAGGATCTGAAAGATGAAATCTTACTGCTATTGATATTAATGGGAATTTGACCACAAAACTACGTGGGGACAAGATTTCACCCAAAACATTCCCTCACTGCAATCCATTCCTTTTACTTCAAAACCCTAATGATCTAGCTTGAGTTCAAGGTTTGTTAATTCACTTTCATTTCACATTTTACACGTCTGACATAACGAACCAAATTTGTCTTCAGCAAAATTCCAATTAAATTACATTATGTATGAGTTCGGTCTAGTACTTAAAAAGAAAATTAACCTTTACTTCAATCTTCCCTCATTTCTCAAGGCAGAAAAAAAATTAGCATGGTGACACTGCAAAAGAAAATTTTCTAAAATTCGCTACACCCCTAGAATTCTTGTTTTCTCCTTGTTTGCTTTACAAAATGTTTATTACCTCAGAGAAACTATACAATTAAGATTGGTTTTATAAGGTTTAAAAGTATCAGCATGACTGTCACTAACTTCCTTATTGTACTCTGCATTTATTAGCATGAAATCTTTATGTTTCAATAAAAACATAAGCTTTTACTTGCAGAGCCAGTCTCACAGTATAATTATGATCTCCTGACAGTGCTTATATATTTTTCAGAAGTTTATGCTACACCAATATTCCAAAAGGAGTTTTATATAAAACTAAGGCAGTTTCATTGACGTAAAAAACCTCTCATTGACTTAAAAAAAAAAAAAATTTTGAGGAATTTTGAAGAAAGACAAAGGTGTTCCTAGCTTGGAAAAGAAAATATGTATGAAAGCACATTTTCTGACCTATCTGAAACTATAGGTCTGCTCATATTGCTGAAATTAAGAATGTACATAAAAGGTAGTTTGGTTTATTTTTAATGCTGATGTGAAATTCTCAGGAAGGTTCACAGGATTTTGTTCATGGTTTTGATGCCTTACTTGTTTAGAGAGCTTCTTTGCATTTCCTGTATTTATATTTTTATGGCCTGTAAGATAAAATAAAGCAGTAGCTACAAGTCTTCCTTTTGTATTTTTTTTTTGTACTAATTTCTTTCGTCTATTCTCTCTTCAGCAGATTCATTGAAAAATATTATAAATTTATTGCAAAAAATATATCCTTGGAGGGATTTCAAATATAAACAGACATTCTGTCGTCGAATCATGCTGAGTCTGAGAGCGACAGCTCCATCTGGTGTATTCACTTCCCCCTCCCCCCCAGCCCAAACTGTTATTAAACAGTGATTCTTGTATGTAAAAACCTAGAAAATATTTCTGGTAATGAAAATGGAATATGACTAGAAAAAAATAATCAGGAGCTACAGTTTTTCTTGGGAAAGGATGGTATTTATGAATCATCCTTCATAATCTAAATACCAAAATGAAGAAGCAGCAAACAGTGCAATGCTGCTGTTAAATATTCAGGCATTCAGTGCCCCAGAGAAGGGCACATGCTGCACATCCTGCCCTGGTCCCAGTGTGGTCACACAGAGCCTAATCCAGACCCTCAGGAATCAGCAGGAATCCCTCACTTTACTTCAGAGAGCTTTAGATCAGACTTGTAGTTCTCTTGACATATAAAATGGATTTCTTTGCTGGTGCACATGAAAGCCATCACCGTGAGGCTGGGGCGGCTGCAGAACAAGGGGCAGCTTCATCCAGCTGCAGTGCTGGGACTATTTCATGGTTCAGTGGCACAAGCTGGGCACAGCACACCTGGCATCCCCACCAAGCCCCCACCACTCACAGTCTGTGCTGAGGTATTGAGTACCACTGCTCCTCACTATGCTCCAATCTGAGAAATTAGCAGGTACTTTGTCAGATATAGATCAGAGGAAAAAAAATCATCATCCATTTCTTCAAGATCAAACACCATGCATCAAATCATCAGCCTGCCATGTCCAATATCCTCTGACTAACAGCTTCTATTGAGAGATAATAGAATATAATAATTTTTTTTTCTCAGCACAATTTTACTTCATGGTGCCAAGTCTGTAAACACATGTCCACAGACTACATCAGTCTTCTTTTCACAGGTCCTTCAAGGGCCTGGCTGTTAGCTGATCACCTGGCAACAGCAAAAGTTGTAATATTTTTGCATTGTTTTGAGGAGGCCAAGAATGCCTCAACAGCCAATTGAAATGCACTGCTCTCCCTGGGATTTTTACCATTATATTGATGCATTTGAGCGAATACCAGAGTACCAGAACAGCAACAAGTGCCTCACTGATGGACATTGCAGAGGAACTGGGGCTGTTCAGCCTCTTAAAGCTCCAGGAAGACCTAACAGCAGACTTCCAGTAATTTAAGAGTCTGCCAGAGAACTGGAGAGAGAACTTGTTACAAGGGCACAGTGATAAGACAGGGTGTCATGGCTTTACACTGGCAGAGAGGAAATTTGAATCATCTGTACAGAAGAAATTCTTTTCTGTGAGGGTGTGGAGGCACTGGAACAGGCTATCCAGGGAAGATGTGGCTGCCCCATCCCTGGAAGCGTTCAAGACCTTGAATGGGACTTTGAGCAACCTGATCTAGTGTGTGTTATCCCTGCCCATGGCAGGGCAGCGGAAGCTGGATGATCTCTAAGGTCCTTTCCAACCCAAACCATTCTGTGACTCTGTGTTTACCCTTTGTACCCTGCGATGACACAGTAACTCAGCATTACCAGACACTGATAAAGAAGGCACAGAAGGTGTTCCTACTCTATTGAATCTGTGTGAATTACTCATGTAAATTTCACAGGAAAAAAATTTTAAAAATAATAACACAGGGCAATTATATATATATTAGGTAAAAATAATAAATAAAATCACAGCCAATCATTTTAGATATCACTGTACTCACACTGCAGGATCTGCCTTACCATGAGACGATACTTCATTTCTGAATCAACTGGTCTTCCTGCCTCCATGCAGGCTGTGAACCAGGAGATGTCCAGGAGCTCAAACCTAGAGCTGTCACCCACAGCCTGCTGTTTCAGCCAGTCCAGCACCTCCAGGTAAGAGTTGTTCTCAGCCACAATATGAGTGACAGATTCACTGTCAAGAAGTACACAAAAAATTTTCTTTTCTTTTTCACTAAATCCAACTGTACACAGATACAGAGCTGTTATTTCTGTATTTACTTACCATCCACTTCCTGACAATTGTAGTGTACATTGTACATGTGGGCTGCACTGAAGTTTTCATATCATCATATATTTATTCTAGTCACTGACTCTGCCTTGAGGAAAGATTATAGTCTGACAGCTCCTGTAAGTGCAGCATTTTCTTTCTTGAAGGATCATTTACCTTCCATAGACACTAACCTAATACACATTCTTTGCAATTCTGAAAATATTTAGCTTACACAAGCAGTACCATAATTAAAAAGCTGCTTGACAACACCTGACAGCCTCTTCCCAGTATTCCTCATCAATGAGTGAAAGCTTTGCAACATTAAAATGTCAGTTAACAATAATTATTTAAAACTTTACAGTTAGTTATATCTTCTGGATACTTACTTTTCTTTTATTTGTATGAAGCTGTTCATTACATATAGCATTGCCAATGGTTCATTAATTAAATCTTATGACCTACATGCTCCATATAAACACCATTTCCTTGCTGCTAAGCCAGTATAACAAAGCTGATGGTTTAGTGAACACAAAATTTACAGCTTGAATTGTTATTCAATACATTATATGGTGTACATTGCCTAAAATTACAATAGCACAAATGCTATTGCAGTAAACTTCAGTTGCTGTACTAGAACAACATTGGAAAGAATCACCTGATTAAAATGTGATCCTTTTAAAGATTAAAAAGATACACTTCTGTACCCATCACAGAAAAATAATGGACAGGGACAAAGCTATATTTCAAAAAAAGATTATGTGCATACTTAGGATGATCTGTAAGTTTCTATCTGGCCTGCTGATGTTTCTCAGCAAGTTTAGAAAAATACAGATTTGTTGGGAAATTTTGAATGATTTGGAGTGTTCCTGCTCCCTATGCATCCCATAAGGGTGCTGTCACCAACACAAAAAAAAAAATGAGAGAAAGGGGAACATTCTTCATTTCCATCAACGTGTAGAACTTAAGTATCTAGAAGATATATTCCAACATTAATTTCTATCAGGCAACAGATTCCTAAACTCCTCAGGCACAGACAGGCAGTGTCACTATTTGACACTATTTTTACAAAAGGAAAGCTAGAGTTGGAACATAAATTTTCTTAATGGCAGCCACACCCATTTGAAAGTCTGTGCTCATGATGGTGAGAGCCTTCTGCATGTACAGTAAATTTCCAATGGAGGCCCTAACAGATTGCTCGGCACCCCCCTGTAACACCTGGAGAAGTGGAGCATCAGCCTGTCAAAGCAGAGAGGACACTACTGGTGGCAATTACTTGTTAGCATTGACTTCAAAACATGATGTGTGCTGTTGAAGGTAGACTGCAAAACCTTCAAAGCAAATTACCTTCCAGAAAACCAAGAAAATCCCTTGGCCTATCTCTATGATCCTTATTCAAATGAGTAATCACAAATTTCATTAAGTCATGAAATCACAATGACAAATATTGGAATTGCTCCACAGAAAACTGTTATCAAATAACTCTCCAATGCAATAAACATATTGTATTTTGGAACTATAAGAAAGGTACTGAAAGGACTATACTTCAGAAATGTGTGTCATGATGTAGAATGGAACTTGTAGAGCAAAGTCCATTGAAAAATAATAAGTCCCAATTTATTTTTTCTAAAAGATTACAAGCACAGATTAAGTGAATCTCCATTAAATACTGTTGGGTTTATTATTTAACCCTGCTGGGTCCTATCTTAATTAAACTGTCACATTTTTATACTTGAGTTAAAAAACAAAATAAAACAAAAAACAAAGAACAGAGACATAGAACTTCTGCTTCCTGTGGTTTATTTCACTTCATATAAAATATTCATATGCTATGTATTCCTACCAAGCTGCAAAGCTGGGAACTTTGCCATAACTATGCTCACAGCAGCAGTTTAGCTGCTGTGCTCCAGCTTCCTCTTTCCTCTCATACCTGTACAGCTGTGCTATTTTCTTGGCACACAATATAACAAATTTAACATTTCCTGTGTCATTTTCAAAACCAAAAATCAACAGCTAAATAGTTTTGTTTTATCCAGTAGCAGCTAAACTGAAATTAAGCATAACAGCTGCCTCATAAAACTTACAGAAAGTCTAAAATAGTGGCAATAAATACCTATGTGTCAAAGCAGCCCAGATAAAGCATTTATACAGTTCTCTGCAGATTATACATGTAGGATCCAGAATAGAACTCTTAATTTCCTTTCTTCCCCAAGAATTCAATTCATTTTGTTTCAGATACTAATTGCCTCCTTCTGTTCAATACCTGCTTCAATCTTGCTTTATAAATTATTTTACCCTCCCTCCTTCCTCAGACTTTCAAAGTTGATGGGATTGAAAGGCAGTCTGTGGAAATACACGTTTATAGGAGAATCCAGCTGAGCTCTCCCTTAGTGCAGATCCAGAGACGTGATCAATACTTGGTTCTCCTCCAGCTTTTCAGAGAACCTACATAAAGATGGAGCTTTTGGAAAACTGCATAATGACATAACCAGCATTTATGTAAAGCACTGTTTAGAGGAAGGCTTCCTTCAGAATGAGTTGGTTTGCTAAAACCAGACAAACCTGAATCTGGAGTGCGTTTTCACTCTCAAATGCCACATCCATGGTATTTTACTCCTAAGATTTTTCTCCAATGCTCTTCCAGATTATACCAAAGCATAAGCCATAACTTTGAGACTCACATTAGGGTAAAAAAGTTAAATACTATAATACCAGAGATGATGTAGACAAACGCCTTCCTTAACCCATCACCGTTTCCATTCCTGTACATTTAGCTTTTTTTCATTTTCAAAATTGGCCATTAAATTTAGATTAATATTAAACTGACTTCAAAGGGGAAATAAACAATGAGTGATTCAGATAAGCTAAAGACACAATTTATATGCACACACATGAAAATTGACAGATTTAAGATAAATTAGAAATGCACATTTTAAAAGTGAAAAAATAGAAATTTTGCTAAGTGTTGTGCTTTCCTTGCTCTCTGTCCAGAAGACAATAGAAATGTTAGGAACACCCACTGAACTCCTGAAACATATCTATAATGGAAAGAGCCAAATATGTCCTCCAAAAACATAGGCGAAAGCTTCTATCACAGTCTATATATGACTATATTTATTGAATTTAAATGTGTCAAACAGCATTACTACGCATTATTTCAAAACATATAAATATTTTCCTACCTTAGCTCACTTTCTATTCTGAAACCTTTTCTTCTTCCCAGTTCCATCAAAAACATCCTTCTGGTCATCCCCATTTTCCTCTGCATAATAAAAATGACAAAGTTACTGAATTTTATTTCATAACTGCAGGAAAGTTTTGGGGAATGCAACCCTTTCTGTCTCTTCCTCTGGGAGATTACAGCTGGAGCTTTGAACCTGTCCATGGTGCAAAGTAGAAGTGCTTTCCCTTAGTAAAATAGATGTAACATGCTTTCTGCAGGCAACAGCTGTATTTGATATCACCACCCATTGAAGTAATTTTCCTGTTTCCCCTCTGAAATCAAAAGCAGGTGCTACACAAGCAGAAACATCACTCACTCTCTACCAGCTGGGACCTCTTCAACAGAAATACTCCAGCCAGGTGTGAAGATTATTTAATTCCTTAAAACAGCCATTGCCTGCAAAGACTATCCAAGTAATATTGATCAACCAAATAATCTCAAAATTTCAACCAAGTCTTCAGCTAATTGAATGACCCAGTTCCACCTTTTTGCACCCAGTGACCTCCAAACAGCTGCAGAGCAGATTGTGGAGGCCATTTACATTCCTTATCTGGAGGAAGGGGTACTGCTCATCGCAGAACTACACCAACGTTTTTGCCAGTGTCATGTCATATCCATTTCTGTATCTCCCTGAATTTCTTTTAGAGCAAGATGAGCACAATAAATCAGGCATACAGTCTCTGCATCTACTTCAGCACGAATCTACTTCAGTGGTAAATACACCTATTCCCACGTCAAGCTGGATTTTTTTTTTAACATAGCAGAGAATTTTGGATATTACCAGTCCTTCACAACACACCAGAAATGTTACATGTTATGGAAGCAAGGTGGAAAAATTTAGGAAAAAATCCTAAATCAGGTCTATCAATTATATTTTCAGTTCTTTTATTACAGATGGATATACAGCTGAGTTTCAGGAAAGTTAATCAAAATCTGTTTCCTGCAATTACGGCCTGAATTTAAGATTAAATTATAGAAGTATTGCAGACATTTTCTGAGCCCTATAGCTCTCACTGCTTCAGCTGTATCATTGCAGATATAAGAAATACTTTTCATCAGAATAGAAACTAACCATCCAAAATTAATATAGAGCTTTCAGCTCTGGAGTCTTCCTGAGGCCATGAAAAAAAAATATACATAGTGCAGTATATAGATTATACTGGATTAATTTCTTCCCTTGCCTAGGGATAACCCAAAAGCCAAAATATCTATGCCTCATTTGGATTTATAACATTAAAATTGTCAAAATAAATCATTTCAAGGTTATTTTGAAATTATATGAGATATTTTCATAGGAACTGGAAAATGGACAAGCTGACTTTAAGAGGCTTATTCAAAAGAAAACCAGAAATGAATCTGGTATTAAGGCTGAGCAATCTGCTTTGGTTTTTCCATGTCTTTTATCCAGACTACTAATCAACCATTGAACACTGGTCACTTCCCTGTTTATAACTTTCCTAGGCTGGTAAAATACTTTATCTCAATCCCTACATGGAATAATGTATTGGAGAACAGATTCTTTACACATGTTAAACAAAGTTTTATTTTATGTTATAATTAATTCAGTGCTCTATAACATGTAAATATAATTTTCCCCAGTGTAACATCAATATGCTCAGTGCCAGTAAAATCCTTCTGGCTTGAATAACAAGTTTTTATTCCTTTGTGTTACTGTTATAAGTCTTAAGCCAGCTTTTCGAGGGTATTTATGTGCCAAAAAGCTGCAAACAGAGACCTAGTGGGATTTTCAAAATATCTAAGCAACCTAGGCACTTGGCTCCTTTGGAAATCAATTTCTGGCTTTGAACCTAATGCAAAGAGATTTTCTCTAATAAACACAGTATAATATGAAAAAGTCTCTGCCAATTATGCAATTTTATTAAATGTACATTCTAAAATTAGCAGAATTTCCATATCCCAGATGAGTGAATTACTTACTCTCCTATAATATTATATCATAATATTTTTGACAGTACCACAGAAAGTAGAACATGCACTAGAGAGAAAGCAAATACAACAGAGAAAAAGCATGTCTATTTTTTATGACAAAGTATACTTTTACCTGAGTCATGACACCATATATGAATTGTGGCCTAAAACCACTGAAACTTGCAGAAATTTTCCATCTCATTACAGCCTCACGGAGTTCAGAGTATTTCACATTCCTTGAGGGAAATCTGAACAAACTTTTATGTCCTTGCTATGGATCACTGTTGAACACTATCAAAGGCAAAGATTAAGATTTTGACACAAATACTGATGGCCATTTAAGTAAACATTTTTCATCACTTGCTGACACCCACATCGGGTGCCAGCAACAGCATCCCAAACTCCTCTGAGGAGCAGAGTGCTAATCAACTTCAAAGGGAGGTTCTTTGAGAGGAAAAGTGCTGCAAAACACATCCCCTCTGAATTACAGTATTCACATGTCCTCAGTGCACGTTTTTGATTATTGTCTGTCTTTCAGTGCCCTAATGTCATGTGAGATGCATTGTAAATATTTTATAAAATAGTACTTGTCCATTCATGCAGCTTTCATGAGGAGAATTGTGAAATTTGCCTTTAACATATCCCAAATACCAACAATAAAAATCAGAGAAGTGATTGGATGTTTTCTTATTTCACATTTAGTAATTTTTCTTCAGTAATTCAGTATTTTCCAATGAACCAATTCATGGAAATTTTTGAATGCTTCTCACATTTGTTTTTGTGTAGATATTCCCATTACTACTCTTCTGCTTGAATTCTGGCTTTCTTGGCTGCTAAGCATTTCCTTTGTCATTTATACCTGTGTTACCAATCTTTCAGCATCTAAAAATCATACAGCAGGTGTTTTTCCTAGTTTAAAAATAAATTCCCCAAATCCATTTTTATAGTCTCAAGCTGCAGCTGGGGAGATTCAGGTTAAACATTAGGAGGAATTTCTTCACAGAAAGGGTGATTAGTCATAGGAATGAGTGCACCTGGAGCTGGTGGAGTCACCATTCCTGGAGGTGCTTAAGGAAAGACTGAATGTGGCACTTGGTATCACGTCCGGTTGACAAGGTGGTGTTCAGTCAAAGGTGGGACTCAGTGTTAGGGGTATTTTCCAGCCTTATTGATTCTGTGATATTTTTATTCTTTGAACCACTAGTATATTTTTAGGGGGCAGTTCTGAGCTATAGGTGCTTGAATTATTCCCATCAAAGGTGACAAACTCCATAAGGAGCCATATGACCAAGAATTCAAAAAAACTTAGATAAATGATGGTATGATTTGAATGTGCCCACTTGGCTGTATGATGTTATTATATTGGCATATAAAGTTTACTTAGAGAGGACACAAAATTCTGCAGCTGTTGTCATCAAATTTACAATATTTGTGATATATATGGCAAAAAGTGCTGGTTATTTTTTTTTTTTTTTTTTTTTTTTTTTTTTTTTTTTTTTTTTTTTTTTTTTTTTGGCTACCCAATTAAAAATGAAAATCTGAATAAAAAGAATTTATTTGGAAACATCTCTCAGATCATACCAAGAGCTAACAGCTTGTTTTACTTACTGCATACAGAGGTATTCTACAAAGGTTAGGTTTTTTTCCCTAAGCCCTTTCTGAAGAAACTAGGGGAGAGCAATATCGTAGTTCTGAATAATTAAATAGAGCAATAGGGTTCTCCCTTACAGCACAGGGGAAAAGTAATTGGTGACAAATCCTGGCAGGAGCTGTTTCCTACTCACATCAATATGCCTATATTCCCTGGAAACTATTATTTTCACTCATCCTTCAGTCTCTCTGTTCAGTAACAAGGTTTACAATTGTTCTCTTCAGTTACTCTGACTATGGTAGCTGCTTCTCTTTGTTGTGATTGTTATTGGACTATTCTTTGATTTTTGTGCTGGTATATCAATGGTTTTCTTTATACTTTAGTCTCATGAGAGCCTTGTGAACCTTTAGCAACAAGCAGAGACATATCTGCATAATCCCATCACTATACATGGCCAGGCAGCTCCTTTGACAGTTACACATCTCTTCCAAGCATAGTTTACAATGGTAAATCTGCCTGGATTTTGAGCAGTATCTCACTGGTAGTATTAAAGATATTTCCATTAACTAAGAAATACCAGACAACCTTCCAGAGATGAGGAGCTACACAAACAGGGTTGCACAGTCTAAATTTAGGCAGCTGTAAATGTTACTTATCTCAGCAATGACTCAATATTGTTTCTGTGGAAATTTCAGAAACTTCTTCTATAACTGTATAAGACTAGAAATAAACACCGTTAAATTATAATAAAATTAAAACACTGTTATAATAACTCCTATCATTCTTTATCTATAAATAATATTTATGTCCTCTTCTGCTCCTCTAGTAGGACACTGCATATAAAACATCTAATTGTTCATTTATCTTCTTTTATTTAGTTGTTGTAATAGTTACTAAGGTGGTAGAATTGATGCACTTTGCAGTGACACTGCAACATTTCCAGACATATTTACATTACAGAATGTACAAACATGTGTGAGATTTATACCTTCTACATTTACAGGTAGTAAAGCATGATGAATTTAATAAGGAAAAATATACCTAAACCAAAATAATGAAAACTGGGGAAAGGCTATTGCCATGATTCACAGAAATCTTTCAATTTTTAGTAGTACAGGAAAGCTCCCACACCATCAATCTGAGGAGATAATCTGCCCAATTAATATAAAAGAGAGAAGTAAGTAAGAATAAGTACCATAAATAATGTTGTTGCAAAGGGAATAAAAACTTATGAATATTATACAAAATGCCCCCTTCTTAAGAGCTTATGGAAGTCAAACCAAGATAAATTTTATCAGTTTTTGGCTATTGAGGAAATACAACAGGTAATACCTAACAGCACAGTGAGTCCTGACAGAGATCTTTCTGCACACTCCACTGAAATAAGCTGCAGGAAAAAGTCAGAGCCAGCACCAGAGAAGCCAAAGGAATTGCTGAGGTGGATTAGACACATCTATGTGCTAAGTACAGAGAGAAAACAAAACAGATGTTCATCCAAGTGATGTGTTGTGAATTTTGCAGGTGAAGGAAAAATAAATTAGAAGCCTTTTTTTTTTAATCCTAGAAATTTGAACTGAAGGAATGTGAAAAGCAGAGTGGAATAGAGCAGAATTCTCACCTTTTTAATTTATTTAGGTGCTGCGTTCCACTAATGCAGAACTAATTACAGCAGAAGTAACTAGCTGGGTAATTAATTCATAACAGAAAATTTTAGACTCAGGCAGCAGGAATTTTATAACACAAAACAGTTTTTGACAGTTTCCACAAAAAGCATACTTTCCATTTCTTACTGACTTCACCTAATAATTTGGCAGCTGCCTCAGTATCACAAAATACTTATAGATTTTTTATTTTGCAGAGTGGATTTGATGGCTCTACCTTCAACTACAAAGAAGGCTAATTTATTTTCAACTGCATAAAAAAATATTTCTCCAAGCTATGAGCCATTCTTTTTCCAGACTATCTCAAGGTTTGCTTCCATTGTTTCATCTTGCAGAAAACTCAGTATTACTTAATCAATTCAAAGTTGCATTAGCCCCCAGAAACTGCGCCCCAGTGTAGCACTACATGTTTACTTAGCAGTGAACATATGTTGGCCGATTTTTACAAAAAAGAAACCACTGTCTGTAGAACATTTTTGAAAAGGCAGCCCTTAGAGTCATCTGATTCTTTAGATGATAGGTACAAGTCTCATGCCATTATTTTATCTTGCACACCTGCTTATTAGAAAATTTCATCACAAGCTTTGACGCATTTTTTATACTTTTCAAAGACACACAGTACATTTGCACCTGAGGTAGTTACATTATGAGCTTTATCCCTCTTTTCTGTGTTTTCTGTTGCAGAGAAGATTCAGTTTTAAGAAACAGAAGTTAATTTTCTTCTATGTAAAAATTCAGACTCAATATACTATCACATAGCTATTAATCAGCTGGTAATTCAATATTTAAGTGACAAATCAAAAGAACACAACATAATAAGAATTTCACCGGAAAACTTCAATTTCTTTCTTCCCATAAGGTTTCCTATATCCTTCTGCTTTTTCTTCTCCTGTGCTAAACTTATTATTATTATGTATTTTGAAGCACGACAGTCAGAAGGACATAAAGCAGGTAAACATATTTGAAAATGCTGCTCTGTTGCAATTTACTCAAATTTTACTAAAAATACATGCTATTTTTAGTCACTTTGCACTTTGTGGTGTTATCAAGGACACAATTCAATATCATAGCTTTCTTTTGCTGTCAGCAGATCATTGTGAGGTTTGTAGTGCACTAGAATTCAAAATGTCATCCATAAAAACATGAAAAACAAAATAGGGGCTAAATTTGTCTGTGCAACACTGTTATTTTACAAATATGTAAATCAGGACTAGTTAGAGGTCTAAAGGCCTAAATCCTGAGACTGTGCTGTGGTTATAGGCAGCAGGTACCAGTAGATCCCAAAATTATTATATAGCCAAGAAATAATATTTTGACAAGTACATACATGTTTTCAAAAACCAGCCAGCTCATTTCCTGATACTCTGGGCTGCTCTTCTGCAAGCTTGAGTCAAATACCAGAGAAGTCACACCAACCTGCCACTCAAGCTTTCACTCTCCCAAGCAAACGAGTAAAAGAGGAGAATTTACAGATATGTAGGCCAAACCACCAAGTTACTTACATGAGGCACTGAGGAAAATAGTGCTTTTTCTCTCTTTTGGCCTTAGCCAACAGTCTGTGTTCTACAGGCTCATCACACAGAACACCTGAATTTCTCAGCATAACACGCACAGCTGCTGTACAATGACCTTCAAAGAACAAGGAAGCCATAACAGTGTACCCAGACTACAGCTTTGACAGCTGTGAGTGAATGTATATCAAAATCATGTCAAGAAGTCTGTAGAGGAAGATACTCAATACTACCGAACTACTAAAATAATGATATAAGATGTAGTCATGCTTTTTAATGTATTGGAAAGTAATCTAAGATGTCTCTTCTAAGTAATGAAATTTTATATAAACAAAATGCGACAGGATATAGAAACTACACACAAGTTTAGTTAAAGAACTGTAATGGGGGGGTTATGTATGTAAGTATCATAATCACTGAACCATGCAGTTAACATTGATAAAATTTTATTTTGCTAAGAGTATGGGTTTGTATCTACACAAAATCTGACATTCCATTATCTTGTGTAGGCATCTAATAAAGTACAAAATATTGCACAACCTGCAGAGGGAAAAATCCATGCATATTTTCATACTTCAGTAAATCCAGAAAGTTCTTTGTCACAAGTAATTATATGTATGCTATACCTTCCCTTTTATACAGACTCAATGGATTCCTGGCTCCTTATTTCACTTGTATACAGGTTGTATAGTTAAAATGTCTTCTTCATCCTACACATTGTACAAGTGTTAAAAACAAGGAGAGAAGGTTGAATCGGGGACAACCAGGTGATTGGGGACAGAGAGGGCACACAATTGTGGGCAATAATGCTCAGCTTAGATGGCTGGGAAAAAAAGGGTTCAGATCAACTTTTCAAGAGCTGTTGCTGTTCGGTTGTAAACAGCATGGTGAAAGGAACCAATCATAAATATTTTTTTATTAATAATGGCAAAGAGAGGTTAAAGAAACTACCTAAATAAGACTGTAAGAGTAAATGTTTCTGGGAGGGAATGAACTCACATTTCATGGAGAAGGTATTAGAGGAAGTAATATTCTTCACTTTTATCAACCATTTAGACATATTCTCATCACTGCTTATTGGTCAAAATCATGAGACAACAAAACACAAACCCAGGAGCCTTTGTGGTATGATAGGAAGCCAGCACACACGCTCCCTCTGCTTCACAGCAAACCACAGCAGGATCACCTCATGTCACCTCCACAGCTGCACAGCCCACAAGCAGGTTACAGCACAAATACCTCTGTAAACAAGCAGCAGCACAGCACAAAAGGGTAAAGGTGAGGGGCAGAAATTAAGGAAAACTCTTTCAAAGGACTAAGCAGTAGACAGTTGGCAATACTTCTTCAGACCAGTTCTACTTTATGTATTTGCTTTCATAGTGTGCTCTCAAAGCTATGTTAAACAGCTTGGCACAGGAATATAGCACATTCATTGGGTAAAACCATTAGGAAAATAATGGAAAAGAAACTTGTAAAATGAAACTACTAAATACACAGTGCACAACAGGTGGAGTTACAATTTATCACTACCTTGTCAGTCACAGTACTGTACATTTGACATCAAAACTTACAACTCGGCCTCTCTCCAAAATGTCTGAGCCAAAAGAAGTCAACTGCTGCACCTGACTCCATAAACCATCCAGGAAAATTTGAAAAACCTTGCCCTTGCAAATCCTGAGACAACTAAGGATAGAAGATCCAGCTGAGAAGGCATTTAATATATAGGAAAGCCAGTCACTTTATTAATCACTTTTAAGAAAGGCTAGATCAATTATCTCCAGATCAAGCAAGGAAGATTTTAGCAATGCATCAAAACAATGATCACTCAGATTTTTTTCTTGTCAAATTTGAGACTATTTTTTCCTTACAGTAATGACTGAAGGTCTGTCCTGTTGCTGTATTTCCCAAGAAGCCACATTAAATTGACATCTATTTAAACAGATGCATTAAAAACACTCAACCTTGTTAAGATTGCATCAGTACCACAAATAAACCAGACACACCCAAATATACATCATTTTGCACCCCAATTCATGCCGAATATGCCTGAAAAGTAGTAAATCTCAGAGCAATCAGTCTAATATCTTATTTGTTGGATCTTTGTTAGATTTTGGTAACAGCACTGAACAGTGACTGGGGTGGGGGTTGACTATGGTTTGGATTTTTTAAAAATATATGCTCTTGTTTAAACAAGTTGCAGGCATCTCTTTAACTGTGCTCTTGGTTTTTAATAGTCATATTTTGACACATCAGAACAAGCCGTAATGAGATAGACTTAAATATATTTAGACTCATGTGATGCAATATGCAGATATCTTGATGTATTCAAACTCTCACCAGAAATACATGGCAAATGTGATCCATTCACCTTCATCAATTTTTATGCAGGTGATGGCAAATTTACAAACACCAGAAACTTTATCAAAACTGAATATTTTTATGAAGTATATTCTTAAGTTCAATCATAGTCACAGGATATAAAACAAGCAGGTTTTCTTACATAAATCAATTTCTGTTAAGCCAAAGGTCACACTCTATAATGACTGTTAGTCATTTCCAGCCTTAATACCTATGAATTTACGGATCTATTTGAAGACTTCATGAAAAAGAGGACCAAGATGAGTGCTGTGATTTCTACACTAAGTAGAAATAATTTCATTTTCATTCCTGGTTTAAGGCCAGCTTCTGGATTATTTCTGCTTCAGCTAGTATGATTGAAACCCAAATAGATGGCAAGGAAAAACTTGTGTTTCAATAAGCGACTCTTCTAAGGTTTTTTGAAACCTAAATAAGTAAACAAGCGTTCAGTAGGACCTAGGGAGGAGTGGTGCCCTTTACAACTGGTGCAGAAGAAATGTGCTTTTAACTTGCATACTGCTGCATTCACATATATACACTTTTCACTTCTATGAATGTTAAAAACATTTTGTCTGCATTGGGTAGGTCAAATGCTCAAAGTTGAAAACATTTATCATTCAGTTGGTATGACTTTATTGGAGACAGCAGTCATATATCAACAAAGATTCAGGACAGTGACTTTTCCTGAGGGATTCAGGGAGTACACTAACCACATTTTCTTGCTATTCAACTGCTTATTACTGTATCATCCAGGAGAGCACATTATACCATAATATTTTGCTTAATGGCTGAATATGATGCATGCCTTTTTAAGACATGACAAGTCCAGTCTCACTGCACATATGACCCTTATGACCCCTCATATAAAATTTAGTTCTATCCATTGAGGTTTAATTTCTTTCTTCATGTGATTTTTTCTAAATATAAATTCTTCTAACCTAATCTCATAAATTTAACTGAAACTTGTAAGCGGATAATACTGTCCATAAAATGGAAATTAATCATTTTTAAGGCCAGATTCCAGTGTTACATCTAGCAGTATTTTATCCAGAAATATTTGAACAGTAAACTGAAATGGAGAAATGATGCCTTAAGTTTTAGCTTTCATATTTTCCAGATTCTGTACTGCTATAGTATATAACTCTGTTCAAGTTCTCTTCACAATTTAGTCAGACAAAACAATCCTTTTCCAGCCAGACAACCAAGGGCACCATTGCAGCTTCAGGCCCAAAAAGTAAACAACAGGGAACTGAGGAGAGCAATTTGGGAGGATGGAAATTCATAACCTGAAGCTGTAATTGACAATTAACCCCAATATGTAAATGGACCAATACTTATGAAAGTGTGAAAACTCATGACTCTCAGTCCATCTTGGGTAGAGCCACGGCCGGGCTCTTGTACTGCCCAAGGTGTATCCCTTGAAGGCCTTTCTAATAAAAACCTACTTTATTCCTTTAACACTGTCTAACCTCTGTTCTAGGTAGCCTCACAAGGCATCAGAAAGAATTGTTCAGTGAACAATTTAGATTAATTACTTCAAAACAAAGGGATGATATTGCTACATGAGGACAAGTCTATGCTAAGAACAACTCAGCTAAAATTCCTTTTTCTGTGGTCACTGTTTTTGCTGGGGAAAGGAAGGACCATCAAATACTCAAATAGTTCACCTGAGAAAGGAGCAGCAACTACTGTTCCAGACTGAGAACACATTCCTTGTTTCCTCTAGACACAAACTTATTTCAAGTAAAAGTAATCCTTTCAAAAAATGAAACTATTATCTCTGGCTCATTAAGACAAATTTCAGTATTTTTGTCCATTTTCAGAGATGGTTTGATAGAGATAAAGTATTGTTTTCAATTACTGTTGACACAGTTCTTGAACTTGGCTTACTAAAGCATAAAAGCATACATTAAATGTCTGTGTTCAATATCACTCATTCCTAAATGTCTAACTCAGAAATCACTGTTTAATCAATCCAAAAGTGGAGACAAAATCCATTAGGCTTACAATCAATGACTGTAGATCGTCTTCAAATAAAGTCTTCACTAAAGAGCTCATGTCAAACTGAGCAAATATTAAGTCCTGAAGTTATATAATCAGCAAAAATCTATTCACCAGAAAGTGCACCAGCCAGAACTTGGCATATCATAACACAGCTTTTATTTACAAGGTGGTGTTTGCTCATGGGGAATATCAGTCCTGGCTGACAAAAAAGAAGATGAAACTTTAACATTTATCTCCCTTTCATATGCTAGTCATAATAAAAATGAATTTGAAAATGTTTTCTAGAGTTAGAACAATATTTTGATAATGAAGGTTCAATGAGAGGCTGTTGCATATTACTACAGTGCAAAATTCTGTATTTGTTGTATTTTCACTGCTGACAAACAGGGAAACATTAAGAATTCTGTCTAACTTCGGTAATTATGACTTGTTTAGATTGTGTAAATTTAACAAGAACATGGAGATTCCCAAATAAAAGGCAAAGTATAGCACTTTCTTTCCAAAGCATGGCTTTGCTCTATTGCCTTGCACACAAAATTTTCCAGGATAAACTAATAGCCAACTGTCATGTTAAGCCCCCTTGACACCAAGTGTCAGTTATCAAAAAAAAAAAAAAATCTTATATCTTGTCATTAATCTGCACTGGGTTTTATCCACAGATCTCAAAACAAGCCAATGAGCTGCCAACCCTGACAGCTGCAAATGTCTCCTGCATGAACATGTACTGTGGGCTAGATTTCTATCTCAGTTACAGCAGTAACAATGAAAGGTCCTTTTGTAAGCAACATCAACATGAAAGAAGTACATCAATTATCTATGGTAAAATTACAGGTAGAACCTGCAAGAATATGGGAACGAAAATTAAACAGTAATTTTGTATGTATAAATATTACAAATTTAACTCATAATATATTAACCATCCAGTCAAATAAATGAGGAAACTATTCCAAGCAACAAAAAAAAACCCCACCCCTCCATTTTTGAAAATTAATTATACTGGTTCTGCATCAGTAAGACATCTCCTATTTGATTTTATGCTTACATGGGGTAAAAACTATTTTGAGTCTAAAGAACTGCCAAACTCTTTTAAGATACTACTTTTCACTACCAACAGGAGATCAACCTCCTTGCATTAGATCTTCTTTCTCTGCTCCTGAACTCTAAGGATTCAATGCAGTTGAATACTCCCCCTTATGGACTGCTACAACATGACATTATAGTGCTCTGTATTTCTCTGAACTAAATGCTACCACCTCCTACATGCACTGTATGTATAGCAACAGAGCTAAGATAGGTCCAGAGTATTACAATCCATAGAAACTGATTCATTTCACTAAGTCTGTGATAGCAGATATTTGCAACTGCAAATTGTCATTCTTTGTTTTGCTTTGTTTTGTTCATCATTACTAAATTTCAGAATAAATATATAGGAAGAGAATTGATTCAGTCAGATCTGCTGACTAGTGTTTTGTTCTTATTGGAATTTACCCTGGACAATAAATACATCTAAGCATTTTTGTTAGAAGATTTGCCACTGCAATGACTTATTTGAAATCATATTTGTTAATCCTGTAAGAATCAAATGTAGAACAGTGAAATAAAATCTAATTAAAATAGTATTCACTATATTTTCCTGAGGAAGTGGAAAAAACTGTACAGTATCTATATGTGGCCCACTAGCACCTATTCTCTGTGTATATTTGGTGAGAAAGCTTTCACCTCCAAGTTCACTACTCGTT